CCCTCATTGTCCGCTATGTTCAGCGAGACCAGTTTTGACCCAGGCTTTTTCAGACCCAGGCCAGTTGGCCTTGGTGAGTTCCCGATAGGACATCCCCATTGTCTCAGTGTGTGGGTGCACCCCTCGCGGTCCTGAGTTCCTTGCTTGTGCTCTTTCTCCTTGTGCTCCTGATTTGGACCTTGAGATTTCAGTCCGGTGCTTCAATGTGGGTCTCTGTCTCTGTCTCCTTTCATCGCCTGATGAAGGTTAATATTCAGGAGGAAGCCTATATGTTTTTCTTTGGGTTCTCCTTCTTATTTAGCTTCTCTAAGAACCCAAATTATAGGCTCAATGTCCTTTATTTATGGCTAGAAACCAAATATGAGTGAGTACATCCCATGCTCCTCTCTTAAAGAGACAGAAAACTATAACACCGTCTACCCCCATAGCTGAAACTGGTGAGGGAAACTTAAAGCCCGAGTGAGAATAAAAGTAATGGATTTACCTGCCACTTCAGCTTTACCTTGGGCTTGGATAGGGTTATGGGATAAGCCAAGACTGGGCAGCGTCAGTCCTCTGCAAGGCTGAGACGTTTGAAGGCTGGCACAGCTTCACTTGAAGATGGTGATGAGGCCTGACCTCCTTGGCTTGGCATAGAGGACAAGCCCACACGGGGGCATTGTGATTTCCAGTGTCCAGGTAGCTGGAAGATAGGGCACAACCTCGGAGCAGGTGCAATATCGTGCCATGTGACCATTTAGGCCACACTTGAAATAGTTTGCCTGTGAGGTTGTTAGGCTGAGGTTTACCAGGATAGAGCCTTGTGACTGATTTCCCTTGTCCCCATTTCAGTGACCGCAGGGCAGCTGCTAAGGCCTGGGCCTGTAGCTTTGTCTGTCGGGAAGACTCAGCTGATTCCTCTCGGGCATTAAAAACTTTAAAGGCCATTTTCACCAGTACCCATATAGGAGTTTAGGGACCATCCTCAACCTTTCTTAACTCTTTCCTAATATCTGGTACTGACTGAGGAAAAATGGGTAAGCAGAAGGGTTAGTAGAAAAAGAACCTAGCTGCTTTTTTATCTGAGAGAGATTTGGAAGAGAAAAGGGAGCATGGGAGGGGCTAGCCCAGTGTGCAGAGGGGATCCAGGAGTGGAGTGGTGAGGTAGGAGGGGGAGGGAAAGGTGGAAGTTGACCTTGAACCTCCAAATTGGGAAGGGAGGGGAAAGAATGTTGCTCCACAGGAAAGGGTTGGGAAATACGGGCTTGAGGAGGGGCCAGTGCCTCTGGCAACTAAGGGGGGTGGGAGGGGGAGAGCACAAAGACCAAAAACCTTGGACATAAGTAAGCTCTGTCCATTTGTCCTTACCGCGACAAATATATATATATTAGGTCCCAGAGGATGGTAAGCTCAAGACTTAGTACATAGGGAAATTAGCCATTTGGGACAGATTGTATCAGACAGGCTCAATTTTAAAAGATTTTTTTTGTAAGAGGCATTACAGGGGCAAGAGCGGACCTGGCTTTGAACTGTAAGTGCCCATTTTAAAGTCTATGCCCTAACCACATGACCTAAGTCCACTCCAGCACGTCTACCAAAAAGGCTCTTAGGTCCAAATGGGGCCGTGGAAATTGAATGCCTGGCGTCCCAAAACAAACAGATTTCCACCTCAGCCAAGCCCGGTCCCGCTGGGACTTGAACCCCTGGCGTGGGCTGAGACTTCAACAGGAATCCAAAAAACAACAAAAATACATACGAATGGGTCCCCCCAAAACCCAATAACATAGACAAGAAAAGAGACTCACAAAGATGAAGTCACTGTAGCTCAGAAGCCGGTTTAAATGTGGCGTGGAGAATTCGAATTGTAGACTAGGGGGGCTTTCAACAAAGGCCTGCCCTGTCTCAGTGGGACCTCCAAGATGTTAGAAATGTTTTCCTAATGCGCGCTCTCCCCCATGCAAATTCCCAATCAAGCCAAATCAAAACAAGCCAAATTAAGAGATATCCAGGTTTAATGGGAGTTCTGCACTCTCGGGTGGCCCTGATGGGGGAACCTGGAAGCTGTGTTATGTGACCTCCAGGAGGAAGAAAAGGCGACCATGTGTTTCTCTTTGGGGAGTTCACTTAAATATTTTTGGGAGTGGTCCTGACCTGGCCTGCTGGGATTTGGAGTCCAGAGTGCTAACTAACTCTCAGGGTCAGGGGACTAAGATAGATGCAAGGGGCTGGGGCCTAAGCTTCAACTTAATAATTACCACTAAGCATAGCTGAAAATATATCTCTTTGAAAGGTTCTACCTCCAAATAGTATCAGGGTGGCACCCAACCTTTAATACATGGACCTATGGGGGCATTTAAGATACAACCCAAAATAACAAGTTACATTTTTTATTATGTTGAGAAACAAAAGAAATTATAAATATAGATCAAAAGGAAAGAATTTGATTGAAAATTTATTGCCACAGATTTCGATGCTCATTGTTAAAAATAAATAAACAGAAAAAACCCACTTGTTATTGTATTACTCTTATCTGGAATATTTAGTTCAAGTATTTCTCTATGACTCTTTAATTCATTGTATTCTATTGGTAGTGTTTACAGGTGTCTCCCATTGTGGTTTGCCCACTGTAGTGTATGCCCAGCGAAGGGACCCTGAATGGGAAGGTGGAGATCCAAGAGCAGTGCCCGCTTCCCCTATCTCCCAAGCAACCTTACTTCAGATGGATAGTCTGCAGTCTGTTTCTACTGTGGTTCTTTCTGATTGTTCATTCTTACAGTCCCTCTTTTAATGACACATTGAACTGTGCCAAACCCACTTGCTTCATTCTTTCTACTAATTTAATTTCAAAGGAGAAATTCTTCGGCCCAAATAAATAAGTAAACATGGATGCACCCAGAAACCCTGATTCAACATGTCCAATCAACTGCTTCTACATGTTAAGATACGTTCTTAGGGAATGTATACGCATAGATTAAAAAAAAAATAGAGGCTGGGCAGTGAAAAACAATTAGTTAAGAAGTGACTCTCATACCTGTTTACAAAGCCTTCTTTAACTTCATATCAATATATGTCGGCAGCTCTACTCTAAATCAAGACATATTGGTGAATATTATCAAAAATACACACAACAGTGAAGCAAACAGAATCCCCAGGGGTTTGAAATGCACTTAACAAACTCAGCCTCTTGCAAAATACCTTTATTATTCAGAATGGAACCGGGGGTTGTTCCACACACAGTGAGTCATCTTCAGACAAGTACATTAGAACCTCCAGGGGCATTTCTAAGCCTCTGTGTGGTGCGATTGTCAGGATGTTTTTAGCTCTGACATGTAAATAAGGAAGCTGCTGCAGCCACCATCTTGGTGCTGAAACCACACAGTGAAAACTTGGAGTTGCTGCTGCAGAAGTTTTTGTGCTGCCCCTGCCCCCGCCCCCACCTGGCTCCCCACCCCCATCTCATTTCTCTACGCAGAGTTGCTTTGTTTCCCCAGAACAAATCTGGATTTACTTAATGCTGGTGTTTTCTGTTTTTACTGTTTACCGAGGACTCAAATGTTAAGTATTAGTATGGGTAACTCCTGTTTCTTACTCATAGCCTTGTATTTACTTAACTTATTTATGAGAAGAAAATCCCACCCCGTGTTTGCACTTGTTTTTTAAATTGACACAGTTTGACTTTGTGTCTGCTTCCCCCCCTCCCAGGAGGATTTAGAGCTGCCCGTGGATGGTTCTGAAGTGATGGAGTCCACCACAGCGTCGGAAGTGATCAAATATGAGTATCACGTCTTATACTCCTGCAGCTACCAAGTGCCCGTTCTTTACTTTAGGGCAAGCTTTTTAGGTAAGACCATGTCTAAAGCTGAAAGTAAATTCATAAAATTTATATGCAAGACAGGAAACGTACTTGGAAAGTCATTCTTGAAAGGAAAAAAAAATGGAGTTAAAAATAAAAAAAGGCTGTGGGTGAGGTAAGGTTTTACCAGTAAAATTTCTCATGCTTCAGAAAGAAAATCAAGACTTCATAGTGAATGACATCATCCCCACCTTAAATCTGATCTTCATGGTTTTTGGCCTCTTGCCTGGAGTTGACTAAACCCCCTGGCCCTTCTTGACTTTAAACAAGTACCAACAACTTAAGACTGCAATGTTTATTTACTTGTAACTTTACAGTAAAAATTTCTCTCTCTCTCTCTCAAGTGATGCCATTAGGTCAAAATCTCCTAAGCTTCCTTCATCAATGGCTTACGATTACTTCAAGCAACGTTTATTAGTTAGCTTAAGGAGTATTTAAAAGTGGAAGTAACATGTCCTTTAGCCATCTACACATCTCAAATGCTGTTACTTAACTCATTCTCCTGCCAAGAAGGTGAACACCCTGTCTCCTTGGAGGCCTCTGCTAATAAAGATTATTTAGCGGCAGCCGCATGGTGTCCTCGCCCTGCAGCTCAGGGAGACTTGGAATATGCACAGACTAAACTGGGTAGGCTTCAGGATGCCTGTCCTGCTCCCTAGACTCCTCAGACCCAGCCCACCTCTTACCCCGAGTCTCCTTTTGTACATGGCTTTCTCGGCTACCCTTTGCATTTGGAGGACACTTCTGGATAGCTAAGACATCTGAATTTAGCCAATGATATTTTATTTTTAATTAAAAAGTAGCTAAAGCTGCTTTCATTGTGTATTTGGTGGGTTAATCACTTGCTGACTTATATTGTTTAATGGTCTCTAGATTGTGCGGTGCTGGCAGCTTAACAAGCACTTAGGATTTAAAACAAGAGCAAATTCTTATAGACTCCCTGGCAAGAAGATTCTAATCTGAGGTGCAGTTCCTGAGAACTGACAATTTTGGGTAAATTTTCAACCTGGGACTTGAGGACAGTGATGGTTTCCTAACTCTGAAGCCCTTGTGGCAGACTCATCTGCACGGTTATTACTAACCTTTAAAACACTCGCCTTGTTGTAATTATATTTGATTTGGAGTCCAGAGGTTAAAGAGGACTCCTTGTCTGTCGCTGTCGCTGTGCTCTCTGCTAAAAGGTGGCGGATATATTTGTTACGTGGGGTGGAGGTAATGGAGGTAATGCCTTTCTTGGTTCTAGTTTGCAGTGGTCTTTCAACCTAGCACTGTCTAGATTCAAAGGAAGTCGGGGCTGCAGGTAGAGGACACAGGAGGGGGTTCTGGTTCGTCAGTACTGTTCTCTCATATAATCAGTACTGTCTGTAAGCAGTTAATCACCAGAGACGCCTTCCCAGAGACAAAACCAGTCGTTTAGCTTGTCAGCATCAGGGATGGGAGGTGTTGAAACATGGCTGCTTCTAGCTGGAAGTGGGTCTTGCCGAGGCTGGCGGATGAGCTCACACTGGCACTGTGCTCTACGCGTGCCAACAGCTCCCCTTACAGCACAGCACAGTGATTGTTCCTGCAAGTCCAATTATACTTTAATGACATTAGTGTGCTGCCTGCGTGCCTTTCTGCATGATGATTTGGGTTCTTAAAACATACATACACAAGTAGCATTCATGGTTCTATTTATAGAATTTAAGATGCCCTTCATTTGTGGCTTATAAAGAAAACCAAAGAGGTCATTTATTTTATGTGGAAACGTTTTCCCTGCCTCTCATTCTGTCTTATCTAAATTTTTTTAGTTCTTTTTATTCCAGAATTCATTTAGTATTTGTCTAGACACATTAAAATATGAATTCATTTTTTATAAAGCATATCAAAATGTTTTCTTGTGAAGAAAAATGAAAAAGCTTCTTTCATTTATCATTCTTGTACTTTTAATTTTTTGTTTTTACCTAACTTAAGCTCAGGGACATTCTCAAACTGTATCATTCTTCACTCATGAGTCATAATTTCTCATTTATTCTCCCCACTCCAGTCCTTTTCATGGCCAGTGAGCCTGTTTGTGCATTAGCAATCTCTGATGGTGTGGAGTATGTATTCCGAATGTCTTCCTTATTTCAGGCCCACGGTTTTCTTTGTCTCCTTCTAACAGAATCCGACCTAGAAGCAGGATGATTGTAAAACTTCAAGTCCAAGGGTCTTTTCTTTTCTTTCTTTCCTTTTTTTTTTTTTGTTGTTGTTGTTGCAAAAAATAGTTTACTTGTCTTGTTTGTGATGGAAGTTAGAGTTTCTTTTGCGTCTGATAGTAAATATCAGTTTCTCTGCTTAAGTTTGGATTTTCTTTCTGCATCATTTTCTATAAAGTGGAAAAACAAAGCAGAGGGTTGGTGATTCCCATTGACACTGATGTTGCCTCTGATAACTGGTTGAGATTTCTACTGTATCGTTTTTGTTTCCTGAAATGCAAATCCACTGTACTCTGAATTCCTTTTCTGCCTCTGTATGACCCAGTGTCTGCCAAGACTCAGCTATCCTGCCCACTGCCCTTGTTACTCCCATGTCCTATGTCATACCCATCCTAGGCGTTGTCCTGTCACCTCACAAACTGCAGTATAGTCAAGTGTCTGTTTATTTGCCCCCTACTAGATGATCCACAAACATATAAAAGTAGTAAAGGATATTAATGTCATCGCCTCCAGAGTGAGAAGCTTTGTTCGGGGACTCTGCCTGGCACTAACATGGCGTTTTGACACGTGCACACCCCACTCGTCTTGCTAACTTTGTTGCAGTGTCAACTGTAGGGAAGCATCACCAAATGCTTGGTGGATGAATCAATAGTGAAGAACCTCTAAGCATTTCTGAATATAGCCAAAAGACTAAAGTATTGTGAGCACCGCCCTGTTCTGCTGCTGGGACAGGCCGTAAGGAAGAAGCAATGCTGTCCTCTCCGGAGGCCTAGGGTCCAAACCATTTATCCATGCTTACAGTCTGCTCTGTTGTGCCTTAGAGACACTAGAAATAGTAGACAAAGAAACAGGCAGCATCCTGCGGACCCAAAGCTCGAATCCAACCCAGCTGAGCAGCTCTGCTTTCTCTGTAAACACGCATCTTTATTTGATTCTTGCAGGCACACAGCCAAGTTCAGATAGCATTTGACTTCTAGATGGCTCTGGTATTAATCAGGCCCATAGGACCATTGCTCCTTCTCCTCCTCTTTTATTTTTTTTTTTTTTATCTGCTACTACTATGACTGCTACGTCTATTGAAAGAGTCTCACTCTGTAGTCTAGGCTGTCCTCCAACTACAGTCCTCATGCCTCGGCCTCCCAAAAGCTTGCTTACGGGTGAGCATCACCGTGCCTACCCAGGAGCTTGGTTCCCAAAGGGAGCCATGGACTGGGAAGAAGTAAGTACTCCTCGGTGTACTGTTCCTCTGCTTTTGTCATTGTAGGTATGGGCAGGGCAAAGTTAACAATGTTTGCCATCCAGTTTTTGAGAGGCTGCAAATATAAAGCATAAACAGTCTGGTTTCGAGAAATGCCTTGTGGTCTATGAGTCTATCCCCATAGAGTCCCAGTATATATGATGGTGTATACTTTTTCTACCTTTTCCACTTGTGTGGTGCTGGAGATGGAGCAAGGCCTTGCACGTGCCATCGTGTGCCCTTCTAGTTGGCCTGCCCAATGTTTTTGAAGCACTCTATATCTGAGTCATTTGTACCATAACAAAGCTGCCTTTTCTCATTATTTTTATTGTTTCATGGGCTTTTTATGTCCCATTTTTCATTGATGGACTTGTCTGGTAGCAAATGGCAAATGTTGGAAATGTGGCTTAAAGAGTCTATACCAAATGCCCTTGGTCTCACCAGAATCATGGTTTAAACATCCATCCTGACTTCTTTACTAGAGATTTTTATATTTATTCTAGATTGAATTCTGACTTATTTATTCCATTTCCTTTTTTTCTTTCCCTTTGTTCTTAATCTTTATTGAAAAAATGGACCAAGTAGATCTTCTCATTTTCAAATATTTAATTCTTTGGTTGACATAAGTGTTCTTTTTGGGAGCTGTTTTGACATGTTTCCTTATTAGTCAGAAAGGCTGCTTTAGATTAGGGAAGGAAACATTTCTCCCATTCAGCAACTGAAGTCTATCTCATTGGCCCTGAAAGCAAGGATATAGAATTTAAAATGCACCTTAGATACTTCATGTGAGAAATTTGTTCAGTTATTATGGGCTTAAAAGATGCTCCCAGAGAAGGGAAATGAAATAAATAGCTAAACAACAGTTCCCTCTCAAAGGTAGGATAAAACCAAGCAAGAAAAGGCTAAGACAAGGAATAATGAAATTTGAAATTCAAGTGCATGTATTGTCAAGGTGAAGATAGAAGAGCGTTCTTCAGGATTCAGAGCATGAGGCGGTGTAAGAGGAAACTTAAAGGAACAAGAAAGATGTGAGTTGGAAGGAATTGGAAAGTGGAAGTCAAGGACTCACAGCTGTGTCCCAGGACTTCTGGGGACAGCGGGGTGGGGTGGGGAGCATAGCCAGCTTTGGGGACGGAGTGAGCAAGGCATGTCTGGATATCAGTGCAAAGCAGTGCGGTTCATGGGTGTCTCTTAAGATAAGCATGGAAGAAATGGTTGAAAAGATAAATGGTGTCCAGTTATGGATGAGCTAATGGCTGGGAAGGAGTTGAGACTACAAAATGAGAAAGAAAGTGCGCTGTATTGTATGTCCTGGAGATGAGAAGACAGATGAGCAAGGGGAGGATGAGAGTGAGGTGGAGGGAAAGAATGTGATGTTTGTGTTGGTAAAAGCATTATTAAAATTTTAAAATAGTGACCTCTTATAAAAGATGAACTGGAAAGAACGTATTCTGTATTTCCATGGTAAACTTACTCCAGTAATTTTATTCAGTAGAAAGAAAAAATGTGGATAAAGCTGCCGCAAAAATGATTTAAGTTAATTACTACAATAAGAGAAAGTGAAAAATAAGTTG